TGATATCAATCTCTATGGATTAGGGTTAGGGTTATTTAATGCCGGAATTTAAATATGCTTTCAACTACAGAGAACGTGTATTTTTGATAATTCTACGATAAATAGATATTGGAGCCGAATTTCACTACAAATATGTATTGTTGGATATCTTTTTATATAAAAATATATTGCTGGTATTTTTAGCATAAAAAATATATTTTTATACTTTCATAGGATTTTGTTTTTGTTTGGGGGGTTTCACTACTTGCCCACAGCTAGGACCCTAACAGGTGCTACCACCCCGCGTCAGACCTGGGAACAGCAGCAATTAAGAGATGGCTTCACGCTCCTCAAAGCCTCCAAACTCTCGATCAGACGTCTAACTACTCGATCAGACGTCTAACTACTCGATCAGACGTCTAACTTGACGAAGATAATAACATTGATGGTAGGATGAAATCAAATAAAAAAAACAAAACAAAACAAATAAACCAAAAACGAAGCCGAAATTTATTTAGTTCTTGCTCTAAAAGAACTAAATAAAATATAAAAACTGATTTTTTTCTTTTAGGACCAGATAACTTAAGAAATGGAAAATTACTCTCTTGTAAAATGACTTACAAAGATACAATTACCGAATTTGAATAATCGAAGACTGTTTTTTTTTATTCGAGTATTTAAAAAAATGATTCTCTATTATAAAAATGTATAACAACCCCTGCATTCAAATAAGTTTGCATCATTTTTGACTATAATAAAAGTATTTAAAGTTAATAAAATAACATTTCCCATTTTATCATTTGCAGACGACCATTTTAAATGCGACCACGGCCAGATAACGAAGAATAACGACTTGAAAAATTGTGCACGGCTCAAAATAACGGGACAAGCAATTTCTTTTTAAAATCACTTATATTGCTAATCAAGTGACTCAGGTTCGGACAATCGATAAAAAAACTATTAGCATCGAAATAATCTGCATGAAAACTACAATAAAATATTCTAGGAAAAATAATATCGACGACTCGAAGTTCAGATCGATGAAGAGAATCAAGTCTTGCGAATCGAATTAATTTGAAGGCCATTCAGAAAGACGATGGAAGTAATATTTCTCGTTATAGATTTCCCTCGTGTTCAATTGGACCATAAATGGCTCCAGTCATTTGAAGGATAGTTACCCATCAGACAAAGGGGGAGAAGAAGCGGGCCAACACGTATATAACTACGAATACACACAGTCATATATAAAAGAATATGATATATATTTTTATATATAAAACAATGTTAAACAAATGAATGAAGTGGAAAAGAAGAATATTGTGTAATGCGTTTCGTCCTTTAGGGCTCTATCGTATTAAAGTAATGGTTTTGTTGATGGAATTATATATGTATATGAAGGAGAGGGGGATATCAAATATGCAAAAAATAAATTAAAAAAATCTATTATCATAATCTGGGATTCCTAATAATAAAAGGATAAAAAAAAAACATAAGCAAAATGAATGAAATTAACTAGACTACATACATCTGTGAAAATTTTAATTTAAAATTTCAGCGTTCCAACATCTTCAGTGTTTCCCACTTAGTGCATAATTAAACCGATGCGTGCGTTCTTATATCCCCCCCTCTTATTTCTACACATATATAATTTTTTCAACAAAACGTTTCTTTATTCTGATGAAGTCTCTCTAGAGGAAGAAACACGTTACACAGACTTTTTTCACACTTTGTCATTCATTTATCTAACAGTTAAGCACGCACGCGCGCACCCACATATAAACATACACACATGCACAGGCACATATATATAAACATACACACACGCATATATTTATACATATAAACATACACACATATATACACACATGCACACACACATATATATATATATGAACACACACACACACACACACACACATATATATATATATACATACACACATACATACACAAATATATGTACATGAATGTATGCATAATAATATATCGGAGCCTGTATTAAACTGAGGCGCCTGCGTGCGTGCGTGCATATCTCTGTGTGTGTGACCGGAATATGTATAGTAAGATTAACAGAAAATAAGAGTTAGCGAGTATAAGAGATATAGACGGAACATTTTACGATAAGAGAATGAAGAAGAGAAAATATATAAATAAAGCGGAAAGGATTCGTATTGCTCGAGGCGAAATGGTCGGCGAGAAACGATCTATGAGATGAAAGTAAAGGTGATCCTGAACGCTGCTGGGGAACGTGAATGAATACTTTCGAATTTACACACACACACACACACACACACACACACACACACACACACACACACACACACACACACACACTACCAGTCGGCATAAAGGTCTGTATTTAAATACGGGTTTCCAAGGTGTACAGTTGAAGTTTAGCACTATATTTCTTTTTTGGCAGTCAAAGCGCTTGTATGCTAGTGAAATCTGACATAGAACTTGTGGGAAATGAGGAATTTTTAAGTAAAAGATGAACTACAAAAAACCTATACTTAGAGACATTTGAAAAGGGTTTAGTGAATTTAACACTAACAAGATATACTTAAGGTCATAGAAGCAAGAAGAACCTAGTTAATGAATAAGTAAATGGTAAGAACAGTGACAAAAGTAAGGAAAAAGGGTCAAAAGTCACTTAGAGTCACAAAAGACAGGTAGTTGTTAAGAACCGTAATCGTTCGCGTCCTGAAAAAAACATGACACATAAAAAAATTAAGGTTTGAACTACAGAACCAATGTCAAAATATTCCTACCAGCACCTCTAGATCATGTTTTAAATCATTTCACCCCAATCAAGGTGGGAATGCCACTAGTACGCAGGGGTTTACAGGGAGTGAAAGTGAGAGAAAAGAGGGAGGATTGAAGAAAGGAGAAAATATGAACAGGGACACAGGAAGATAGAAGATGGCGATTGACGTTGCATTTACTTTTTTGAAGATTGTATTTATCATGGAAGCAAGTAAACGGGAATTCCACAGACAGGAAGTGCGAGAAAAGAAATTGTTAGAGTAGAAGTGGCGGTTGCATTTAACTATTCCAACAGTAAAAGTGTGGGACGCTTAAATTCATACAGTTGGGGCACCTGCGAAAAAAAAAGCTCGTCAGTGCAGTTGCCATGAAAATATTTGTAGAAAAAATAGAGGGAAGCCACACGTTAGTGAGAAAGTAACTGAAGTCGAGATGTCAAGTCTGAAGCGGCAAAAGTTTGGCATCACCAAAAACCTTCTTCGATCCGGCACTCCTAGGAAAATTTTCTCAAGAACAACTTGAAGAATTAGAAATTAAAGTTAAAGTGATTCCGATTAATACTCGAAAGGCGAGCCAAAATAAGTTAAGAAATTTTAGAACATCAGTTTCTAACAGAACTGTTAGTCATAAACTAAACAAGCATGGTTAAACAGAGAAATCATTTTTTTAAATCGTCGGGATTCTTGGATGAAGTTCGATCGCAAGAGGAATGTGGTTCTACAGAAGGATGCTGTGGATACCGTGAACCGAAGATGTGAACAACGATAAAGTTTTGGAGAAAATGGAAACAAAAAGGAAACTAATACTTAACACTAGGAAGATTGGTTTCCAGGGCACATAATGAGGAAAGAGGGCTTGGAAAATCTGATACTCACAGGACAGATTAAAGTCCAGAGAGACAGAGGAAAACAACGCATAACGTACTTAGTGAGCTTGAGTAAATGGTTGGCGGAACAGGGCTTAGAAGAAATAACAGAAAGACAAAATTTATTAAGAGCTACAAGAGACAGGAAGTTGTGGAGAGCCATGGTCGGTTACGTCCTGAGAGGATATGGCGCATAAAGAAGAAAAATCATTCTTAGAAGAACTATCTTTCATCGAATGGAACAAAATTTTAACTTTCTAGTAACAAGCCAACTCATTACGTCCTGGGTTTGACGATAAACTGCATCCGCGTCCAGGATAAGACGATAAACTACAGCTAACAGCAAGGCTTCTGATCAAGAGGTTTTGAGGAGCGTGGAACCACCTCTTAATTGCTGGTGTTCCCAGGTCCACCCTGACCCCAATGGTAGCACCAGTTAGGGTTCCAGCTATGGGCAAATAGTTAACCCCGAAACTGAGGTAAAAAGCATTATAAAAGTGTAAAAATAGGTTTTAATACCAGAAATACTTTGTAAAAATTATTGCCAGAAATAAATTTTTGAAAAAAATTAAAAACAAACTATTACCAGCATTTTGGAAAAAAAAACAAAACAAAAAACATTACCAGCAATATATTTTTGAAAAAATATTACCAGCAATACATGTTTTAAAATAATATTACCAGCTATACATGTTTTAAAATAATATTACCAGCTATACATTTTTGAGGAAAAAATATTACCGCAAATAGATTTTTGACAAAACAAAATATTACCAGAAAAAAAAGTAGTCGGCATTAAATAACCCATTGAGATGTTGATATGCCGTAAAACACAACAAACCAAACCAAACCAACTCATTATTTTTGAGGAAATATGGATGCATCTGTGGTCGAAAAAACAATCCTCACAGAAAAGCATGGAAATGGAAGGATGCCATGGCATGAAAGTGTTTTTAATGGTAAGGCAGCATTTGAAGGAATCACGAATGGAACAATATAACGGAATGTACTGGAAGCTAATTTGTTCTTATCATTGAAACAGTTTAAGCTTAAGCGTGTGTGTGTGTGTATGTGTGTGTGTGTGTGTGTGTGTGTGTGTGTGTGTGTGTGGATCTTGCAGTAAAATAACAACCTGAAGAATAGAGCTAAAATAAGTCGCAAATGGTTTGTTCAGAACAATATAGTAGTAGCCTGACCCATTTGTTTACGTGACTTCAATTGAAAATGTATAGAAAAACGCGAGAGATCGAATACCAGAACCATTATTTGAAGCCTGCAAGGAAGAATGATCTATGCATGTTTATATGATTTGGGTGATTTTAAAACTGGATACATTTTTAAAATCATTTGACTTTAAGGAAGGTAATAACGCCACTAAGACGCAAGAAGTTACGGAGCTTAAAAGTTTGAGAGAGAGAGAGAGAGAGAGGGAGAGAGAGAAAAGGGAGATAGATAGATAGAGAGAGAGAGAGAGAGAGAGAGAGAGAGAGAGAGAGAAAAGGGAGATAATAGATAGAGAGAGAGAGAGAGAGAAAGAGAGAGAGAGAGAGAGAGAGAGTGAGAGAAAGAAATTTAAATTTTTGAATATCAAAGTTGACTGGAAAGCAAAAAGCCGGAAGAGAGTTCCACAAGCAAGAAGTGCGAGAGAAGAAACTTTTAGCATGGAACTTATGGTTACATCGAGCAATTTCAACAGTAAAATAATGAGATCTAGCTGGGCTTAAATGCGTAAAATCTAGATACCAAAAAGAAAAAAAAAAAAAACTCACCAGAACAATTATCATGGAAATATTTATTGACAGATTCATAGAGAAAGTAACTGAAGCTGAGTTGACAGCTCCTATGCAGATTCTTCTTTGGATTTTCAAAGAGAGGATGTGACAGCAATATTTAATACATGGACGAATAGTAGACATTTAAACGTGTAATATATATTCTGTTGAGAAATATTGTCTAGCAATATAGAGTGAAAATTCCTAGCAGCAGACCTAACAATGAGTCATTGTCATGGAGTTTAGCATCAACTATACGGATAGAAGACATAAAAGGACTCTAGAGAAAATATCTATGCTTGGTTACACACACACATACATATATATATATATATATATATATATATATATATATATATATATATATATATATATATATATAATCTTAAAAAATGTGTGTGTGTGTGTGTGTGATCGGATGTTGTTTATGCGTTTCCACAGTTTTCATCCGATTTTGATGAATTTTTTTTGTTTGATAGATAATTCTTCAGTGCCGGTTTTGAGCCCAAATTCGCTGGAAAAGATTACAACCTTCAAGATGAAAAATCGAAAAAAACTGACAATTTGCACAAAAATCAAAGGCAAAATTTAATGTCTGTAAAAACAGCGTACAATCAACTGAAATCTAACGCATAAGATTATTCGAATCATAAAAAAAATTATATTATAAATAAAAATTATCGTATATTGTTATTATGACGGTCCATGGAAGAGGTTCCTTCCTTGCAAGATTGAAAACGCAAAAACGGCCTTTTTCAGCCATCCCCCATTCAAATTATTAACCCCCCACATTTCGGGATGTACATCAGTTGCACCCAATTGTTGTTACTAATATTGATTTTATGTTGGGCTGACTTTAAACTTAATCTGCTCCAATTGAACGGCAAAAATTCCCAGTAATGAAACACCCGGTCGAAGACTGGTTAATATATATATATATATATATATATATATATATATATATATATATCCAGGCTAGATGAGAACGAATAGAGTACAATTCCAACGTTCGTAACATTTTATTTAAAAGAGGACTCAATAGAAAGTAGAGCAATATTCTTTAAATTTTACAAATGGTAAGGACATGTAGATCCTCATATGAAACCCGCTTTCTGTGTTTACATGAAAAATTGCAA